AAGCCTTTAAAAAACAGAAGGAAATCCTAATGTTACATTTTTTACTAAGGCAGCAAGTAGACATATTGTTTTATCAGTCCTCTTTGATGCAGTAACTACAGAACCATAAAGAACCTTCTCAGTAGTGCCCTAGCAAAATTTGTCCTGCTTTATTAATATTAAAAAAATATGAAAACCTGATAAAATATATTGAACTTTTATGTCTCCTGTTGGAAGGACAGCGATCTGTGGCTATGGATACAAGCCATGTAGAGCAGAACATGCCATCCACTCAAGCTCTCCTCCATCATGGAGGTCTGATAGTAAGCCTCTCCAAAAGATGGGAGGTTATCTAGCCAATTGTCTGAATTTTCTCTTTCTCAGCTCAAAAAGACAGTAAAAAACCTGAAGTTGGCCAATACAAAGTTTTAAAAAATAAAGTTGGTGCCTGGAATATGGAGAAAAAAGGGATTGGGGGGGAAGAATGGACAGTGAATAAAAGAACCATCAACCTTTGCAAGAGAAAACCAGCATGTATACATATACACTGGACTGCAGACAAACACAAAATCCAAGAAAAATGTCTAATATCAAGGGGTCTGCAAAACCTACATAATGCACTAGCTTAAAAAACAAAAAATGTATTTTAATTGAATCTGCCACTTTTTATTACAGAAATACTCTCTTCAGTTCCTACCCCTTTCTCCCAAATACTTCTTTCATTATTTTTTTTGCAATCATTCTGAGTAGTGGGGGTACTCATCTAACCCCCGACTTTTGAACAGAATGCATATATGATTATTAAAAATACACTATTCCTCTAAAAATTATGATTCAGCCACATTAATTAATTTACTAATCTTTCAGGAACCTTTTATACAGTTTTCTATAGCCATCTAGTAGCACAATGGTAAAAGGATAAAGAGTTCTGGCTTTCACCACTCAGAGAAAAGAGTGCACAATATTATTTTGCATCTATAAATGGATGCAAAATGTTCATTTAGCAGCAGTTAAAATATTGATCACTCAAGTTTTAGATTTCCTTTAGACTAGCACAAGGAAACTGCAGAGCACTGCAAGAGTTAACGTGTTTAGAATTCAGTTTCCATCATACTTGGGTGACTATCTCTTTAAATAATTTAAATCCTCTCCATCAACTACAAAGCTGTTTTGAAGCCATTTAGCTTTGTTCTTTACATGTGTTCTAATTAAGAAATGACCTTGTCATCACACACACCAGAAATCCTGGATTATTTCCTACAGCAAAAATCCACGAAGCCAAAAAAAAGAGAGAGAAAGAGAGAGAAAAGGAGAGAGAGGGAGAGGGAGGGAGAGAGAAAGAAAAAGAAAAAAGCCCCCACACTTCTTCCTTCAGTGAGGAACTGAGGAAGTTGTTGGTTGGCTGAATGCTGAAGCAGTTTCACCGCATAATTTTTTTTGTTGTTGAATGTCACAGGGCGGGTTAGTGTGACCTTGAGCTGCATCAGCAGCACAGCAAGGGTCGAGATGCCTGCAGGCGCCCTTGTACTGGATTTGCAAGACAAAAACCTTCAAACTGGCTGAAGGACATCTTAAATCTCTTCAAAGGTTTTCCGAACTAATCTGGGCTGCTCTTAGCCGGATCTGTGCCAGTGTGAGAGGCAAAATTAAAAACAAGGTCTTTGACAGGATGTTGTCTCCTCTTAACCCTTCTCATGCAAAAGGCAGCATATCAGAGGCATTTGGAAAGAACAGTTTAATAGCAACAGAGATGCGTGGAGTTCAACCAGCAGTACTCTTTTATAACAAAATTATGTAAGCAAGCCTCTCCTAAGCATGGCACTGTTATTAATAGTGAATATTCAGCTAATTTCAACACCTCCCTCCTTCCCCAGAAAACAAAAACTACATATACACACCAATTTAGAAGTCTGTATTTTCCAGGTGGTCTTACATTTACTACACTAACTTCCTCAGGCTCTTTCAGCCTAGTGCCCAAAATTCAAGTTGAAGCAAAATGTGCATCTTTCAGTTTCAGGGGTGTTGGTTGTAGCCTAAGGACACAGGCAGACAAGGTTCTTTGGGTACATCTGAAACCTTTTATTAGACCAACTAAAGTAGTTGGAAAAATTCTTCTTTGCAAGTGCTTGGGTTGTACCTGAAATATATTTTAGTTGGTCTAATAATAAATAAGTAAAGAAATAAATATTTCAGTTGGTCTAATTAAAGATATCAGATTTACTCAAAGAACCTTGTCTTTCAGTTTTGGGCCCTACTGCAATCTGTGGAAGAGACAGGAAATGCAAGCAGACCAAGGAGATTATTTTTCTGGGTATCAAAGAGGAAAGGGAGGAAAGCACAACACATTCTTCCTCACCTTAACTTATCTTCTCAAGTACTTGATATATTTGATTAAGGATTGGGGGCTGGGGGTACTTATTCAAGGATACATGAACAGATGGGGAGGCATTTAAGAAGACATCTAGCTATAACAAGTCCAGTAAGGATGAGAGGTTTATACTTGTGGTGTACACGCATTCTGCCAGCAAGCCAACCCCTCAGTTAAACCAGGTCAACTGGCTGATGGCTCCTTCAGTTGTTCAGTGAAAAGGGTGTAAAATAAACCTGAGTTAATCCATGAAAGGGCACCCCAATAACACAAGGTCACTCTGTGAGACACCAGACTTAACAAATAAATTTGGCAGTATCATTTAAAAGCATCTGTTAACACACTGACTAAACATAAGCTTATTATTGAGAAAGATGTTTATGCCCAGAACCCTCTGAAACCAGTTTGCTTTAGCTCTGGCAAGAGAAGAATTTCATATATAAGATTGGCTTTTTTTTTTTTTTTTTTTTTTTAAATGCAAGGGGGAAACTACCTAGGATTTCAGTACCTCTAAGAATTGGAGAAAAGCTCCGAAAAAAACAGAAATACCACAGCATGACCATGTCCCCTATTTTTCGTTATCAAAATCAACCTTTTCAAGCATAACAGACAATTGATATCCATTAGTAAAAATGAATCGAAAGTGAGTAACTTGGTTATAAACGATGCATTTGGTAGCTGTGTTAGTCTGAGACAAAAAGAAATGCAAAACTCTAGAACTGCTGGTTCAGTTTTTTTGTGATTTCTTAGTTGGTCTAATAAAAGGTATCATCTCTGAACCTAGAGTTCTAGAGTTTTGCATAACTTGGCTATAAGAAATTAACCTGCTCTATTAGAAGTGTACCATACATATCCTGTGCCTAGGACAGGCAAACCTCTGGGGAAGGAGAACTTGGAAAAGGTACCCACCAATGCCAGTTGGGGGTGTTGCCATTCATCTCTGGTTGTGCACTCACAGTTTAATTTAGCCTGCTTCTGTTTGCTGGCTATTAAAGTACCCAATTCTACTGCAGATGAGAAAGGAAGATATTTAAGTTTATTGAAAGTAGGACATTACTTTGGCAATTGCATCACAATTGTTACTGCACTATCTAACATCTACTACTAAAATGTATTCACTTTGTCACTTCTGTGAACAATTCTGCCTATAAACCATCCCACTGTTAAAGATTGTACAGATGTGTTTTCAAGTTTAAAAAAAAACCAGTGACTTCTTTCCTAGCATCAGCAAGAGGGAAGCTACACAGTAGAAAATACTTTTATGTCTATCTCCCAAAGTTTCTAGTATGATTGAGTGTAGAGTGATTCTTCAGCAACATCTGGTTGTCAAAGCAGCCCCTTGGGGGAAGGGCCAGGGAGGGGGGGTCACTAGCAGCTGGCAAACGCTTGCTCTGTTCTATGAACTGGACAGTGCTAAATGACTAGCACTGCAGTGGTAAATATGGCATAAGACTACCAATGGTAGTATATCTCCCACTCCATTCTGGGTCCTGCAACAAGCAGAGTTTGGCCATATCCAAAGAGTAGGTTTTCTGGATCCTTCAAAAAATTGGTTCCATCTGTATCCTTCTGCAGAGGAACATAAGACAGCTAAAAGAGGTGAAAGGAGGGTCCTCAAATCTATCTCACAATGTATGCAAGATTGTTGCCTGACACCATGTTTTCTATTTCTAGTCTCCTAACCCAACACATTTACGTAAATAGACTGGAGAGAACCACTTAAGAAATATGCACACCTTGTATCCTT